ATGACTAAATTAGCCTGGAAAAGCAAATAGTTCCTGGCACGCGCTGCGGCCCGTTGACGACCGCCCTAATCAACTGCCCGGATGACGAGGTTATATAGATACATACATACATAACAGTCGGCACACATAGTTATTTCTGAATTAGAATTATGACTGCTGTTAGAGTTACCGTGCATGCTCTGAAAGTTATCCACGAAAGCCGAGCTAAAGGTATCTAGCCTATTCAGCCGTGCTCTGCACCTTTGAGAAGGGGGAGTCTTTCTTTCATGTTCACTTTTTCCCGAAGAGGATAACAATAAATGCAGATTTTTGCATTTCAGTCGCTGTAGTTCTTTATATAATTATGGGTTATGCTATCCTTATTTTACACGATATAAGGAATACTACGATTTCTAATTATCTATATCATCTTGACGTGTTCGTTTGCTTCAGAAGTGTGATAGATGGCATTCGTTTGTATGCCCACCGTGGTAAGGCTTCGCTTAATTGCGAACAGTTCATCAAATCTCAATTTACTTGGCCATTTTCCATTGCAGATATTTTTCAGAAACAATGGGCAAAGCTACGTTTCGCAACATGTATGCATATGATGACGTTTTTCCCTTAGGCCTATCCTTCGTCTTAATGGTTACCAATGTAGCTTGCTTGTTCATTCTAGTGCTTTACGTAGAATATGCTCCTGTGAAAACATTGATGTCTTGCCTGTGTAGATGCATTAAGAAAAACCAACTTGTGAGTCAAATGCTATTTCTGACTAGTACATCTCTGATTATTCCACCTGTTCGTGTCGTTTACTCCTTAAAAAATGGACAATGTAGGCCTTCCTTATTTATTTTTCACCTAGGTTGGGCTTTAGCTATGGTAACAGCTCCTTCTGACTTTTATTAAAATCAAACACCTGCAGTACTACAGTTGCGGTCTCTACCGTTATCGCTAGGCAATTAGCCTCATTGCTTCCACAATCTAGTCCCTGCTGTTTACCTTCGGAGATTGCTCATCAGTATCAAGCGCGTCGGACAACATCCATTCCAATGACCCTTCCATTGTGCTGTGAATGGGACTGGCCGTTAGGTAGGGGGGGGTGGTGCTTTTGTGTAGCAAGAACAGCTAAGGGAGAACCCACCTTTTCCAGGGAGGAAGCATTCCGCAAGGTTTGCACCTGTCCGTCCATTTCTTCTGTATGAAGGCTGTCACCACCACTTTCTGACTGCATCCTTCGCTTGTCATAAACGTTCGTGGGTGGGTGCACTGATAAAAGTTCATTTCTCCACAGGACCATTACATGGGCCACACTCCTCTTCTACTGATAAGTGATGACGTCAGCAAGCTTCTCGAATTTGCTCATGGTCATTGTATTAGGTCATCCCATTGAAAAATGTGGAAAATTTTATCACTTTTAAGCAGAGAGGATCCAGATACAAAGTCATATTTCTCCGTTGACTCGAATGGATCCCTTGCCGGTCAATCCCCTGAAAGGATTTGACCACTGCTACCTTCTTTTTTTAACAAGTTTCAACCAGTAAATCGCTTTATGCCAATTTCAGCGAAAACAAAACGTTGTAGCTATGCCGTCGGACAGTATGTTCAACTGACAGGAACGATTAAAATTGCATCTGGGGCGAATGTGGCGACGACTGATCTAAACATTGTTTGTGCACCTATAGCACCTGTTTGTCCTAGCAGTGACCTATAATAAAGTTACTTGGAGTATGGCACTATGACGGTAACTGCTGCCCTCTTGTAATTGTGGGGTACCAGCCTTTCGTCTAACAGATGTCGAGGAACAGGCGGTGTACACGGACAGCAACTTCTATTCCCTCTGTAGAGTCGCTGAATAGCCACAGTCGGAAATGATATAATCCACTTGGGCCCTCTCCCCATGGCAGAATTCGGGCAACTTCTCATCTGAATTCATACAAATACCGACCATTTTGGTTTTGGCTCGAACTTCGGAGCACCCATATTTCATCTAGGGCCGGTGTGCCTTTTCACAATTGTGAGTGACTTCTTATGCGGAGAACATTACTGCTAGAGGTATAGAATCGGTACTGCGTTCGTGCTTCTACAAGAAAATTAGGTACCCATGCGCACACCCTCTTGGCCATCCTCAATTCTATCGGATATACCTCGTGCACCAGTTCCAGCAGGGATAATGCTTGCGGGAAAGCTCGACAAGGTTATGGGGCCATCCACGAAAACGAACATGCATTAAACGCACCATTACATGCAGCTACTGGTCCACCACAGGTCAGATTTCGAGCAGCGCATGATCCTCTCATGATCCTCTCATAACGCCCGATTCGAAAATCAGGCGCTCATTTTGACCACTTGAACTTCTTTCCAACTTCTTCTGTGGCTAGGTTCGCCGGATTTCACAGATATAAATTTGAAGGTTACCAGCTTTCAAATGGTGTAGTGGCACGCTGCCCTACCTTATTTACAGTCGTCATCCGGGCAGTTGATTAGGCTGTCAAAGGGCTGCAGACGCATCTGCGACGCGTCACGAGCGGCGATCAGCTGGTTCCAGCTTATTTAGCCACTAGTCGGATCGCCCGGCTGACGCCGAGCTATCCTTCTTCTCTTTAGCTGGCTTGGCTTCGCCAGGCGCACTTCATGATGGAAACGGAATTTGCTCACTCACTTAGCTGCTCATACTGCACTGTTTTGATCGAATCGTAATAGATGGAGCAACCCACGCACGAGCTCACGTCCAGCTGCCACGCGAGCAGCTTGCTGCGTGCTCCTACTCAAGCGTGCGCTACGCACCCTACCCCTTCACCCGACCCCTTTCCCCGGTCTCCCTCACCTGCATGTTCTCACTTCCGGCAGAGCACGTACAGGGCTGGGAAGCAGGAGGAGAGGTTACATGCTATTCCCTCCCCTTCCACCCCACCCAGCCCCGCACGACCTCACGCCCAGCTGCCACGCAGCTTGTGCAATGGCTTGGAGTGTACTAAATGGTTTTCTTATATAGTTGAGGGTATTATCACAATCAAACCGACATCTTAGTTTGTTACTTTATTATGGATTAGCTTGCACTTTTGCTAGCGGTTGTATCCTCTTCTCTTGCTGCGTGCACTCAAGCGTGCGCTACGCACTCCCCCTTCCCTCCGCCACCGTACCCCCTTCACCCACCCTCTTCCCCCTGCCTCCGTCCCTGCACGTGCTCAGGTCTGGCTGAGCACGTGCAGGGGAAGGAAGCAGAGGGAGCAGAGGGGGGAGTAACACGAAGCCCCCTCGGCCCCAGCCCACCCTGCCTCCGCACGAACACGTCCCACGAGCACCTCGTGCAATGGCTCGGAGTGTTCGGAATGGTCGTCTCATATAGCGGAGGCTGTTATCACAATCAAAACATTGGATAAATATGCACCAATCAATTTTTTAATTGTCTAGCGGCCGTATCTCCTAACACTAACGTGTTCGAACGAGAAAATTTTCGAGGACGGACATACAAACAAACAAACATACATAAATGCCGACAAACAGACACAGAAAGTTGCTGCTTCATGAACAGAAGATTTTCTCCCTAATTTTCACTGTTTTGGGCTGCTTTTCCTTGAGGTTCGTTGTTCCCTGTCTAGATAAGGCGAGTTTTGATTGAGATTTTTCTAATTTTTGCCAACACAAGTATATATGAACAACCAATCAAACAAATACCTAGAGAAATTGCAAAAACAGTCCATTACAAAAAGCGAAAAAAAAGAATTCACGTCCTATATACTTCATAGAGATCGAAAACAACTTAACCTAATGAAAAATAAATAACACGGTGAATACTCAATAAGAAAATCGCTAAATAGGCTGGAAACAGCTGATCGCCGCGGTCGTGACGCGCCGCAGCCGCATCTGCAACCCTTTGACCGCCTAATCAATTGCCCGGATGACAGCTTTACTGTCCTGTCGTTCCTCTATATGTCTCCACATTTATAAATAGGATGACCTAGTACAAAATGGATCGGGAAAGCAATTCAGCGGATCGACAAGAGCAAGTTAACTGTTGGAAGAACTATGTTTACTCTATCAGAGAGAACTTCCGGTGGGAAGTTCCCTTATCACGTTGGCTTCCATATATTCGGTCATCTCGTGCGTTCAAAGACGTGCGTATAAATGCATACATACATACGTACATACATATACATATAGAGCAATGGCAGCAGAGCAAATAGGATAGGCCTTCTGTGCCTTGAATTACGTAACTACGAGTTTTGACTAAAACAACCTCAAAAAAAACACGAGTGGTCAAAATGTGCTCCGGATTATGGATTCGGGCGTCTCAAAAGGAAAACGAAGCTCAAATTTAGCCTGTGCTGGACCAATAGTTGCATGTAACGGTGTTCTCAAGACGGTGAACAAGTTCAAGGAGCGAGGAAACGAAAAGAATTGTCTGAGAAGCACCTGGACTTCCATAATGCGCAAGGAAAGCGGGTGGAAAAGTTCAGCCGCTGTATCTCTTATCAGAGACGCAGGACCGTTGTCGAGATCCCATGCGGTACTGACATCCCTGCTGCAACATTAGGCCGAGTTATTTCCAAAAAATTGAGGCCAACTGGGTAATGTGCATTTTCATTTCATTTCATTTATTACATGCTCTCTAGGAACATGTTAAATTAAGCATAGAACATAAACCAACATGACGAATCAGATAGTCGGACAAAACTACCGAAAACGAGTAAAAATAAGAAAGTGCCATGCATCGAAATAAAGCGAAGGAAGGCATTGCAAAACGGATAAAACGTCAGTGAGCTAAAAATGGAACAGAGAAAGTACAAGGGGAGTAGTAAAAGCGGTCAGAGGAGAGAGCGAAAAATAACTAGCTGCGCTTTTTGAGATGACGCGAAGCCAGAGAGTTTTAAAGGAAAACGAATATTCTTGCTGAGCTTGAGGTATTCTGAACCAGCTCGTTGAGTGAAGAAGTGGCTACGGACCGAAGACCTTGCCTTTCTGAGGCGAATCTTACTAAGCTGACCTCTAGTAGATGAAACAGAAAAGGAAAAAAGCTTGTCGCCGCGAACTGCATTGGCCCCTGTACGATTTTGAAAACTGTGAATAAATCGTTCCTTACTCTTCGTTTTGAGAGGGAATCCAGATTAAGCATTTTATTACGTATAATGCCTCGAGGAATACTATTATAGGTGTATCCTAACGCCCTTATGAAACTTTTCTTGTGAAACTGTTTTGCACACGTTCGATCACCTGAATAATTCTTTTCTTGTGAGGGGAGAAAATGCATGTTCCATATTCAATGACTGGTCTGACATACATTTTATAAGCCCTGATCAAAATAGACGGATCTTTGGTAGTAAGTGCCTTTAAGTAGGACAAAAAGCCTTTGTTCGGCTTTGGCGGCGATTTGAAGGCAGTGGGAGTCAAAACTGAGGGTACTATTAACGGTGAAGCCGAGGTCCCTAGTCTCCAAAACTTCCTCAATAGGAGATCGCAAAATAGAGTATTTGTTCTTAGGATTATTCTTGCCCAGATACATTGCCTTGGTCTTCTCGAGACTGATGGGAAGACCCCAGCTGACAGACCATGCATGAACAAGATCCACTGCGTTTTGAATAGCAGAGGAATCATCGGAAGACTTGATTTCCCTATAGATCTTGATATCATCGGCGAACATCTGACAGGTAACCCCCTGACTTTGAACCAGAAAAGGTAAATCAAATGTGTAAATGTTGAAAAGAAGAGGGGACAACACCCCACCTTGTGGAACCCCGCTAGCCACACATCTGACCGTGGAAAAACAGTCATTAATTCGAACTTGAAATGTGCGAGAGGCTAGAAAAGCTTCAACCCACCGAACGATAGTGCTG